ATGATAATTTTCATCTGATTCTAAAAGTTTGAAAAACAAATATGGAAATAACAGATCACAGGAATCAAACTTTTGATATAGGCAAATTAAAGCAATACAATACAGTAGTCCCCCTTATCTGTGGGCTTTAATTTCCAAGACCCCCAGTGGATGCCTGAAACTGCAGATAGTACCAAACCCTACATATACTGTTTTTTCCTGTACATACATACCTATGATAAAGTTTAATTTGTAAATTAGGCACAGTAATAGATTAACAACAATGGCGAATAATAAAATAGAACAATTATAACAATATACTATAATAAAAGTTACTGTAGATCTTAACCTCAGCATGTGATTTTTTTTCTTTCCTTACTAAGTCAAGAACTTTCACATTTTCACTTAAAGGAAGCACTTTACGGTTTCTCTTCAGCATATCCGAATTGCCAGCATCACTACTCTTGCACTTTGGGGCCATTATTAAGTAAAATAAGGGTGACTTGAACACAAGCACTGTAATACCCCAAGAGCAGATCTGATAACCGAGATGGCTGCTAAGTGACTAATGGGCGGAGAATATATACAGCCTGATATGCTGGACAAAGGGATGATTCACGTCCCAGGCGAGATGGAGTGGGACAGTGCGAGAAGGCATGAGATTTCATCACACTACTCAGAACAGTGCGCAATTTAAAACTCGTGAATTGTTTATTTCTGGAATTTTCCATTTAATAGTTTCAGACCACAGTTGACCACCGGTAAGTGAAACCATGGAAAGCATAACCATGGATAAGGGGGTACTACTGTAATCTGAAAAATTTTTATGACCAAAACCATCCATTTTAAAAACATCTAGCTACATATATGAGTGCCGTGTGCAGCCCCAGGAAAGAACCATACTAACTGGTTCGTGGAATTTTATTCCTGACCTTTGCCTTATCAAGTTACATTTAATCAGCCTTCAACTCCTGGAGATTTTAACTCTGAAACGTCTTAAATCTATATTCCTCTGCCAACATCCCAATGAAAGCCCTTTCTTCTAGGCTCTTACAGGAAACTAACTGGCCACCATGGCTCCATTCCCACATATCCTTCCCATTGCCACTGGAATTTCCAGCATAAATCTGATGGTCTCACTCAGTACCTTGCTTAAATGCTTTCATTAGTCACTCATTGCCTAAGTAGTAAAGCTCAAATGTTTTCATGTAGCTATCCTTTCTTCGTTCCCTTCCCCCAAACTCCTTCTCTCTCAAATGTGGAAACTGCCTATTTGATCATTTTTGGCTATTGGTCTTGGGCACCTCACTCTAGCCAGGGCAGTAACAGTCTATCCTAGAAATTTCAACTTGGGGCTGACAAACAGTTGATTTCTCTTTGGATGCCTGTAGCACACAAAAGTTCACAAGCAGTCACTGGCCACGTTTTCTGCCAACTGAACCAGAAAAGTGGAGAAATCCAGTGATAACAGAGAGAGAGAATGAAGATGTGCAGAGAAGGTGAGCCCAGAGTTCGGAAACTGAGTGCTCAATCCCAGCTCTTTTTTGAGTCCAGCTGCATCCTTGTCCTAGAATCTAATGAGACAAGTCAGACTCCTGACAATAACCTCCCCCTTAAAGGCTGATTCAAACTGAGTTTATGATACCTGCACCCATCTCAGTCCTAACCCCACTGCATATAGCGACTTGGTAGTTCAACCACACCTGTCTTGCTAGCTTCACTTCCCAGTGTTCTGACCAGCCCTTCATTCCACAGCACACTCATTCCTCTGCATCAAAGCCAAAAGATCGCTCCATTCTCTGTGCTCATTGCCCTTTGTATATGCCTCTTTGGTTACATTTACCACGTTATATTGTAGAATTACTATTTGATTATATATTATCTTCCAAGTTCTTCAAGGACAAAGTCTTATTCATTTATGTAGCTCACTGCCTAACACAACTGGAAAAAACACACCAGGTACTTGACAAATATTTGATAAAGCAGGTTATTCCAACAAATAAAGTGAATTAGCCATTGCCACAAGGGTCTAGCAAATCTCCCCCTCCATAGACTTGACCAACTTGTCTTAACATCCGATTAAGAAAGCAGTCTTTCATGAATGATGTAATTTTGTATTTAAACAGAAGAGTAACTTATATGTGAAATATACTGACCAGGGAAAGGAGTATCAACTTCAGAGGCCCCAAGCCCCAATCCACACTCTCCTAAAGGGCCTAAATCAGTAATTTGAATGTAAAAATTGCAATGTTATACCTGTAATGTACTTCCTTCTCTTCTTTCTCATACACTTCAAAGTCACTCATTCTGCTAAATTCTTTTGCCTCTAAATCTGGAGATGTCAACCACTCTTGCAGTATCTGCTGTTTGCAATGAAGTGCTTACACAAGTTGGATTACTCAGCCGCACAAATAAAAAAGCTACTCTATCAGCTAACTGTTTTGTGTGTGTGTGTGAGGAAGACTGGCCCTGAGCTAACATCTGTTGACAGTCTTCCTCTTTTGGCTTGAGGAAGATTGTCATTGAGCTAACATCTGTGCCAGTCTTCCTCTATTTTGTATATGGGATGCCTCCACAGAATGGCCTGATGAGTAGTGCATAGGTCTGCGCCCAGGATCTGAATCTGAGAACCCTGGGCCGCTGAAATGGAGTGCACGAACTTAACCACTATGCCACCGGGCTGGCCTCCCATCAGCTAATTTTAATACTTAGGGTTTTCTTCAGAAAAGTTCTTTAACCCAAAATGTATTTCCTGTTGGAAATAAATTTCCAACAGGTTAGTTTTTGTTTGCTTCTAATGTATTATATATTACCTGGAAGCCAGGGGAAACAAAAGATTTTTTGTTTTATTTTATACTCAACCTACTAACCAAACAAAGGAAATAAAACAAGTTGTTTATGGCAAAGCTGGTTTATTGAACTTTAGAAGGGAAATGTTACAGTGACGCTATTCCACAACAAAATTATTTAACTTTAGTTTAGATTTCATGAGGAAATGTATTAGCAATATACTGTCAATAAAGCATTGTCATTAAAAGCAATCTGCCTTAGATTCTGGATTAGCTTCCTTTGGTGTTCTCAAATTAAGACTTTTCCAAAACATACCTGATGTTTTTAATTAAAGGTCACAGTTAAATTTACACAGGAGTTACAAAATGTGTGACTTGTGCTTTAAAAATTAACAATTTGTTGCTTGATAGCCACCATTTTCGAAGTGATTTCTCAACAGTCAATGAAGTGTTTTATATATATTTTGGAAAATATCTAAAAGCTTTATCCCCATTCAACTGATAAGTATGTTCTTTTTAAAAATGAAAACACACATATAAAAATTTAAAACAATAAATCATTACAAATGAGATACAAATATTTTAAAATTAATAAATATTAAAGTGAAAAAATAAGTCCTTTCACAGAACTGTAAAAGATACTTACTACTAACTTCTTACAAAAAGAAATAAAGTTAAATTGCTGTTTTTTTGGAAACCATTATTAACAGCACTGAAAAACCATAAATGTGCTTGGAAAGTCTGTAAACTTTCTTCCCACAGTTTAGAAAATGTTTTGAAAAGTAATAAACAGATTCCCTTCTTTACAGAAACTGTTACGCTCATCACAATTATTACAGCTGTCGTTTTACTATAAAAATAGTTACAAATCAACATTTAGATAAAGTCAAACAATTTTTAATTCTAACATAAGAAAAATGGATTAATTTCCCTAAACACAAATAAAGCCAACTTGTTTTTCCTTAAGCTCTAATATTTAAAACTGAATCATTATTTCCTATAATTATTACTTTCAGTTAGTTCATTTAACAGAATTATCTTGTTTTTATAATTAAATTATCCAGTTATGACCACCAAAATGATTAAACAAAAATTCTACACTAGATTAGATTACATATTTAATTGGTTTCCCACATTCTGAAAATATTTTAAGTACAATCATCTTTTGGCTTAATTTCCTCTAAAATTATCAAGGACAGGAATCTATCAGAATTAGTGAATGTGCACACTTCAGTTAAAGTTCATGGCTTACATTCCATTCATGTAATAACTTCATATACAAGCTCTCTATTTTCTATGTGCAAAGTCTTAAATTCAAAATAAAAGTATTTAGGGTAAAAAACTTTCTGAAATATTCTCTCCACCGAGGGATAGACAAGATATTTTTCAATATCTAATTTATCTTTCATACTGAGGAGGAATGGCTTGTTGTGACCACCAAATTTAAAGATTTTTTTAAATTGATGTACTGTAACACAATACTATTACAGAAATATATGTAGATTCATAGCAATTAGGGGGATGCCCTCGGAGCTACAATCCAAATGGAAGTTGATTTGTTAATTCAGCCTTTAGTCATTAATTTGGTTAGCGGTCGGGGAGAGCAAGAGATACTATGCCAGATACACAGTTTGAAACTACTAAAAGCTAACAATAGGTGTCCCGTGGTAGCCAGGAACCATATTTACCTATTTTCCCCCCAAGTTACAATTCCTCAAATGCTTCCAATTAGTTTTTCACTGTTTAAAGATACCAAAATAAAATACAAAGCACCTTATTATGTCACTTCATTTACATTAAAATTTGACTTATTTTTGCATATTTTAATAGAATTTATTAAGAAAACAATTCAATTACTCTTTTAAAAATAACAATGACTTTTGTAGACCTGATTGATATTGATTAGAACAAGCATCCAGAACCATTGGAAAAGTCATTCATTATGGACTGAGAACCAGAAACCATTCTATGTCTTCTCCTCTCACTGGAACTTAAGTCTTGGCTCTAAAATGTACCAATAATAATGCAATTAAATACATTAATAATACAAAGACAGAACTCTAGGGAAAGGCAAATACCAGCTTTTAGCCTATCGAGAATACTTCCCATTCAAAGGACATACCAGTAAGTGTGTACTAAACCCTTAATATTTTTTTTCAATCCCAGGAACAGAGGATTGAACAGTCACTGACTTAAAATCCCATCACGCTCTCATTCAAAGCCTCCTTCTCTGGGCTCTCAATGGAAAGATGTTCTGATTCATCCTACCTTTGCTTCATTTCAACCTCTCCTGACAACCAACTTTTCCCTTGTGTCGTCACAATGACAAACTTGATTAAGTAGATACAAAATACAAAAGTAAGCATGACAATGATAAAAAGTACAGTGTCAGGATGATCCATTACATTTGAAATTAAATCTTATGACTTATCACTGTCATACTTCAAAAGTATTTCTTTAGTCAAAATTAGATACTACAATAAAGACTGTTATTTAGCACCAGCACGTCATTGCAGGCTTTGGTTCAGGCTTCAGGATAATTCCATTATCAGGGGGTTGACTAAGCATTAATGGTTTGTGGCTCTTAAGCTTATGAGCCAAGGTCATAAATATAGCTTCCACATGGTCATTATCATTGGGGTTCTTAGCAGAGGTTTCAAACAAAGGCATACTGTGTGTATCTGCAAATTTTTGTGCCAAGTCTGTAGGTACTTGAATGGCACTTCTCAAGTCACATTTATTTCCAACAAGAATCCGTGGTATATCATTGGCTAGCAAATGTTGTTTGCATTCTTCTATCCAAGATGGCAGGCTATGAAAACTAGCCATGTTGGTCATATCATACACGAAGACAACGGCATGTACGTTTCTGTAGTAGTGTTGTACCATGCTCTTTCTGAATCGTTCTTGTCCTGCTGTGTCCCATAACTGGATCTGAAAATGAAAAGAAAAAAAAAAAGAGGAAAACTGAAAATTTCATTCCAGTTATACATATCGAAAATTTTAATCACATTTGCAAGGTCTTTAGTACTTCTTCACCTATATTACTTTGTTCCCTTCCATAATGCCTTTTCAGTGTTATTTATGGGATCCAGACTTCATGATACCAATCTAGTTACCTCATAATAAATGAAGTGTCAGAACAAATGTTTCAATTTAGCATTTAAATTTCAGTAAATCAAATCTGTTTGGATGAAATTATACCTGAAAAACTGATTTTAAAATGTTAAGAGAAAAATGTATCAGGTTTTAACAAACATGCTAAGTGTCTAACTCCTGTAAATTTGGTAACTATATGCCCTTCTCTAACTTTCACTAGTCTTATTTAAAACAGTAGACTTAGGACAGATGTTCAAAGTCATGTGGTCTAGCCCCCAAACTAACATACATATACAGTCTATGATATCCAGGCCCCCTTGAAAATTTTAAAAGGCTAGAAAATCACTTATCTGTCCTAAACATGTCTACCAACAAACTATTCCAATGTCTCCTTATTGAAATATGGGGAAATTGGGGAAAATGATATCTAAGGCTAAATACAAGTCATGTGTTTTGATTCTCTTAAAACACTGAATTATCCTGCCTTTGTTTACTCCCTAAAAAACAGTTAAATGATGAGGGTACTGGCCACAGTGGAAAAGACTAGAGGCAGATTTACTTAGATAACTTTTAACTGAAAGATCTGTACTATTTATAGATATTCAGAGCATGGACTGGAAGCCTAAACTGGTGATTTCTCATAGAGCAATACAGAAGTAGAGAGAAACTGAGGGGATATTGTAGATGGCCCAAAAAGTAAGTAGAATATAAGATATGAAGTGCTCAGAACATGGCAGGATATGGCAAGTGCTCAATTAAGATGTAATGAATGAATAAAGAAATACATTTTAAAAAATGTGATTAGACATGGCAATATTGCTCACCAATCTCTTCCATGGTACTTTAATTTTTATCAGTTCTGATTTTTTCATCTTTTTTTTTGGTAGTTCTTTTTAGTCCAAATTTCTCCACTTTCTTAATATTTTTCCTTTCTTCCTAATTTTGCTCTAGGCAGAAATATAAACTACCACACAAACTTGATTTCTCAGGCTGTCTTGGAACTAGGGGAAGCTAAGTGACATAGTTCTGGCCAATAATTTGTAAACAGTTTTCTCAGTTGGGGTTTCCAGGAAAGCTACTGATTTGTGATTTTAAAAAAGAGCATTTGGCACGTGCCTTTTGCACCTCTATTACCCTGCCCTTTCTGCCTGGAATGGAATATAATGCCTGGAAGTTCAGCAGCCATCTTATAAGCATGAAGAAGAAAGCCACATACAAGAATGACAGAGCACAAGTCTAGCATAAACCTGGAATCCTGCTGAGAGGGTACCATCATACAGACTGCTGTCTCTGGTCTCCTTATTACACGAGAAAAATAAAAGCTTACATGATTAAGTCATCACAGTTGAATTTCTCTCACATGTAGCTGAATGTCATCCTAAAATTATTTACCATGTACACTGTTCAAAACCTTTTCCTCTTACACTAACATTTACTCAGGAAATCATAAGGTTTTGCCTCAATGCATTCCTAGAGACCACGTGACCAAGTAATTCATTACAAAAGACCCACTTTGTGATGTAAACATAATTGGCAGATGGGCCACAAAGACAGTATCATATAAATCAGAGATAGAAGCAAACAGTTGTCAGCAAAGCAAACTAAGAACTACTAACATCTGGGGCCAGCCCGGTGGCGCAAGCGGTTAAGTGCGCGCGCTCCGCTGCGGCGGCCCGGGGTTCGCTGGTTCGGATCCCGGGCGCGCACCGACGCACTGCTTGGCAAGCCATGCTGTGGCGGCGTCCCATATAAAGTGGAGGAAGACGGGCACAGATGTTAGCCCAGGGCCGTCTTCCTCGGCAAAAAAAAAAAAAAAAGAACTACTAACATCTAAGACTATTTAAACCAACAAATATTTACTCAATACCTACTATGTGCCAATGGGTCACTGTTATACCTCTAGACCTTGGCTACCTCAACAGCAAAAATAAATATTTTATAGGGTTTCAGACCCTATAAAATAAGCACTTATAGACTAGTTACACTGACTATGCAAAGAGCTAATAAAGTAAATGTATAATTCTTTAAAAATACAACTTTCATTTTTTAAAAAAAATACAACTTCTTTATCCCAACTAACATGTCAAGAATAAAAATACTCAACATACAATTAAAAATTCTTCAAATTATAGCTGTCAAAACTTATTACAAAGCTACAGTAATCAAGACTGTGTGATATTGGCATAAGATTAGACATATAGATCAATGGAACAGAACAGAGTTCAGAAATAAATCCATATATCTATGGTCAACCAATTTTCAACAAGAGTGCTAAAACAATTCATTAAGGGTAAGAACAGTCATTTAAATAAATGGTGCTGGGACAACATGCAAAAAATGAGTTTGGACCCCCTACCTCACACCATATACAAAAATTTATTCAAAATGGATGAACAATCTAAACTCAAGAGCTAAAACTATAAAAGTCTTAGAAGAAAACATATAGGTAAGTATTTGTGTACTTGGATTAGGCAATGGTTTCTTAGATATGACACCTAAAGCACAAGCAACCAAAGAAAAAATAGATAAATTAGACTTCATCAAAATTAAAAATGTTTGTATTTCAAAGAACCTTATCAAGAAAGTGAAAAGACAACTCACAGGATAGGAGAAAATATCTGCAAATAAAATATCTGTTAGGGATCTAGCATCCAAAATATTTAAGAACTCTTACAACTCAATAACAAAACAACAACAATTAAAAATTCGGTAAAGGATCTGAATAGACATTTCTCCAAAGAAAATATACAAATGGCCTATAAGCACAAGAAAAGATGCTCAACATTATTAGCCACCAAGAAAATTCAAGTCAAAACTAGAATGAAATACCACTTTCCACTCACTAGCGTGGCTATAATAAAAAGAAAAGATGGATAAGTGTTGGCAGAGACGTGGAAAAACTGGAACCTTCATGCATTGCTGGTGGGGATGTAAAATAGTGCAGCCACTTTAGAAAACAGTTTGGCAGGTCCTCAAAATGTTAAACAGAATATTATTTAGCCACAAAAAGGAATGGAATACTGATACATGCTACAACACGGATGAACTTCCAAAATATGCTAAATAAAGAGGCCAGACACAAAAGGTCACATATTCTATGGTTCTATTTATATGAAATACCCAAAACAGATAAATCCAGAGAGACAGAACACAGATTGGTGGTTGCCAGGGGCTGTGGAATGGGGAGAAATTGTTTAGTGGGTGAGGGGTTTTACTTTGGAGTGACAGAGATATTTAGAAAGTAGATAGAGGTGGTGGTTGTACAACATTAGGAATGAAGTACTGATACACGCTACAACATGGATGAATACTGAAACCACTATCCTAAGTCAAAGAAGCCAGACACCAAAGGCCACATATTGTAAGATTCTATGCGTATGAGATGTCCAGTATAGGCAAATCCATAGAGACATAAAGTAGATTAGTGGTTGCCAGGGTTTGAGGGAATAGGAGGAATGAGAAGTGACTGCTAATGGGTGTGCTTTTTGGAGTGATGAAATGTTCTGGAATTAGATAATGATGATGGTTGCACAGCTTCGTGGATATACTAAAAACCACTGAATTGTATATTTTAAAACGACAAATCTCATAGTATGTGAATTATATCCCAGTTTTTTAAAATGAAAAAAAAAAAACCACTCCAAACCGTATCTTTAACATTTAGAAAGGTATCTGGGGAATAATATGGATGACCTATATAAAAGCTGTCCAAAGAAACTGGAGTTGATCTTTTCTCTTTTAATAACATTTCCTGTAGTTCAAGCATTCAAAAACCATTTATTAAAAAAATGATTTATAATGTGTTAAGCAAAGTACATTCACAGACTAAAAAAAATTTAAAAGCACACAAAAAGAAAATACAGTCATGCGCCACATAACAACATTTTAGTCAACGACAGACCGCATATACAACGGTAGTCCCTTAAGATTAGTACCATATGGCCTAGGTGTGTAGTAGGCTACACCATCTAGGTTTGTGTAAGTACACTACGATGTTCCCACAAGGATGCAATAGCCTAATGACACGTTTCTCACAACGGATCCCCGCCATTAAGCGATGCATGACTATATACCAAAATATTCACAATGGTTGTCTTTAAGGCAATTTCCCCCTTTATATCAACTTTCAACATGCCTTCCTCACTAAGCTTAGTCATTTCTAGATTTTTGATTTAAAGTGAGAGATATGCCACTCTTCCTTTCCCTTGAACACTTAGAGGCCATTGTAGGGTTATTAATTGGCCTAATTTCAATATTGTTGTGTGTCGGGGAATAGGGAGGACTGAGGAGAGGGAGAGAGACGGGGGAAAAGCCAGTTGCTGGAGATGTCAGAAGAAAAACAACACTTACCGGTTAAGTTCACCATCTTTTATGGGTGCGGTTCATGGAGCCCCAAAACAATTACAATAGTAACATCAAAGAACACTGATCACAGGTGAAATGTGAAAAAGTTCAACATATTGCAAGAATTACCAAAACATGACACAGAGACATGAAGCAAGCAAATGCTGTTGGAAAAATGGCGCCAATAGACTTGCTCGACGCAGTGTTGCCATGAACCTTCAATTTGTAAAAAAATGCAGTATCTGTGAGGCACAATAAAGCAAAGCACAATAAAAGGAAGTTTGCCTGTAACTGAGGATGAGAGATGAGTTGAGCTGCTGCAAGAGTTCAAAGAGAGGTAACAAAAGACTTGCCCTAGGATTTTGAAGAAAGGATGAATGAGAGAAATTATGTAGGTAGAAAACCAACTGGACTTAAGGAACAAAGGAGAGGGGTGAGGCCATGAGGATGACAACGTCAGGACAACCTAGGTGACACTGAAGAGAAACAGG